TTTCGTCTTTGAAACCCCTATTCTAACTAAACCCATCAGAATTTGACCACTAAAAAGTTAGCTTTCATCCAAGGTTTTTGAGCAACATACATATTCAAAAAGGTTGTTGATCATCTTTTGCTTGCAACCAACACTTTACAGTGTTGTTGTGTACAAAATTAAATAAAGTTACGTTTTTTATGAAGGGAGCTCCATCAGTCTCAGCTGATGTGAGTCTGGTGCTGGTCACAATCACACCTTCTCTTTCTGTTTTAACGAAGGACGTAGGTGTTTTAGCTGTTTGTTTTACACTCTTTATATATTCTAACATGCCTCCGAGGCTTTCAGGACAAACTCAGGTCTATATTTGGTGGTATTTTCTTTNGGTATTTTAGCTGTTTGTTTTACACTCTTTATATATTCTAACATGCCTCCGAGGCTTTCAGGACAAACTCAGGTCTATATTTGGTGGTATTTTCTTTTTATTCAAGTCACTTTTGGAAATTGAGGGACATAACAAACTTTAAAAAAATTGCAATTTGTTCTGAAAGCCTACAGCCAAGTTAAAATATTGTTATATCGAACGTTGTCCATTGACTGATCCTCTCACCAAAACTACTTTTTTTAAAGATGATTTCCAGTCCGTACTGCGCCCTCTCGAGAGTTTGTTTGCGTTTTTTGTTTTGTTTCATGAAAGACATTACAAAATGTGAACATTTCGCAACTACTTACATGAAGTAAATTCCAAGTTTCAAAACAACGCCATTATGGATGCGAAGCGGTCGAAGCTTTATGCTTCGTTCTTTCTCATATCACTTGGCGAAACAACTTGGCAGCTGTAAAAATCAATGAAGCTGTTGGAAAACAAATTTGAAAGCCCTCAAAGATAAGGTATGTGGTTCGTAACGAATAACATCGATTCGCATTCCATCGAGTGAGATTTAAAATGTTGCCTCTTAATTTTCTAAAATGACTAAAATGTTGTTATTTCCTTTATGGTTGATAGAGCGTGAATGTACAGTGGAATCCCGATTTTTCGAACCTCCAAGGGAAACGAAAA